CAAAGAACCAAAAAAAAAAATACTGCATAAAAAATATATATGTAATTATAATTGCATAAGTTGATAAAAAATGCTACGCAATAGCTTTACCACGGCAGTTACCGAGTGACATAGGAGTTTTTTTTTTAAATCAGTAGGAGTAATATAGTCGCAATTGCTGAACAGGGTCGTGGGTATAAATCACCTTTACAAATACGTGTTTTTGTAGACAATAAAAATTATCAACAAATTCGTATATTTTTCTGCCGGATTGTAAGCGCAGCCTTATAATGAGTATACACGGATATTTATATTAATATACCAGTCTGTTAATATCTATATACCATATGCACATAAATGTCATTTAGCTAAGAAATCAATTGTCGACGCGACCACCAAGTAATATATCCAGGCAAAGTATTTTAATTCATAAGTAAATTGAAGACATGCTTGATTTAGTCAAAACTAAAAATAAAGAAAAATTATTAACGCAGATAAATCGATGAATACTCGCTGCCATTTAATAATATGGTATAAATGCGCATAATCATACAAAATATTCTTAGAGAGACATGATGTACTCGTATATACATTTGTATGAACATAGTAGCTTAATGCATTTTGGGCATTAGACGCAACACGTGCAACGCTTTGCGGCGCATCTTTGGGCATCGTCAGTCGTCAGCAACACCATCAATGCCATTGACCAAATAAAAAGTAATCAATGTTAATATCGACAGCATTTAGCAGAAGTTTTGAAGCCGTTGATTTTATGGCACTTAAATGTGCTTGATATATATGTATGCATGTATGTTGATGTAGCAAAATGGCAATGCGGCATTAAACGCAGTTAGCTTTTGCATCTTTGATGTGCAGTGTGATTAAAAGTCTATTACAAAATAATTTCCTTTAAGCCGCTGTGAGAACGGTGCTTAAGCCATTTGTAGCCTTGTAATACAGGTTGCTTTTTAGGTGAACACAAAATCTTGTGGTAAAATTTATACAGAAAAGAATCTGGTAAATGAAATTATTTAAATAAATTGAAAAAGTGCAGTTGCAACATACTTAGTGGGTTGCACATACAAAAGTGCAGGTCATTTATTGTGGGCAATCGCATAGGAAATATCACTAATATTCATTTATAGTTGTTGCAATTGCGCAAGTATTGGCTGATTTCCGAATGTTTGGCTTAAGTGCCAAAGCAGTGCCTCTCTTTTGTTGAAAGTTTGACTTGACTTGAAGTTCGTTCGAGATTAGGTCACTATTAAATTGATGGTACCGGTTGTTTTCGAAGCCTTCTCAGTATCTAACTTTTGATATATAATAAATAGAAGACAACTTAAATGGAGCTTTGTAGAAACAATAGAGTGGTACATAGAATTCTTAGAAAAAGGTAAAATTACAGATAAAAAAATTCCTTTAAGTAGAGAAATAAAAGCGTCCACTGAAAAAGCAATACTGATAGATAACTTCAAAAATGTTCTAAAAATAGTATTAAATTAAGAAAGCAAGAAAAATCTTCGTTTTCTTAACTATGTGTATAATTAATTTTGAAAATGTAACCAGTCAATGGTTTACATCCAACGGAAAACGTTTTGTTAGTTCTTCCTAGCCAGTGAAGTAGAGATAAGGTTACTTAGCATGGCTAAATCGACTGAAGTCGTCATTCTAGTCAAATATACTTGTAATATGGTTGGTTGGTTGGTTGAAAGGGAGGTGCAGGACCATTGTGCTCCAGAGTGGTAACCAATTAGGCCTTATCTAGCAACTAAGTGGATCGGATAAAATGCCTCATTGGAAACCGTTGAAGATATCCAGTCTCAACGGGTTGAACGATGCGCATTCGCAAAGATATTGCTTCCACTTCTCATCATCTTCTGTTCGTGCTCTGTATTCCGCCGAATTCACTTAATCAATTTTCTTATGGTGAGAACTTAAAGGTAAGTGCCCTGTGATGTGATGAGCCCCTACGGCTTGAAAGACTGAGTTGTAGTCGTTTGGTTTAAAGCTACCTTGTGTGTATGTTAGTAAGGGACGGATGACGGATGGACGTTAGAGCTAATAGACCATTTACAATCGTAAACCCAAATTCAAAGGATTTATTTGGATTCACATATGTCTGTAGGAGTTAAAAATTTCGTCGTAAACTTAATATACCCTTTTCCGGATAAATTAATGAACTAAGGAACCAAATCATTCAGGATAATAAATGGCCAGGGTGCTTTATATTTCCAAGTATATCCAAATGTCATGCCAACGTGATATATACCTAATGCTACCTAAAGAAGTCATATAGAAGGTGTCGTTTGATTTTCTTTATAAAATATTTTATAAATTTTTTCAGTGACAAAGAGCTGCAATAAATCGAACAAATATAAGCATTTAAAATGCGGATGTATTCATTAACATAACAATTTATATTATTCATATACATATAATATATAGCTTATATACAAGTATATATATATATATATTTATAAAATTGTATATTAATAGCGACTTGCATAATGTTACGAGAACCCCGTCCAAATAAGGTAGAACCAAGTTGCCGGTATTTACTTGTGAAGTGTGAAAAAAAGAAGAAGAGTTAGGAAACTGATGACCAATGTGGCCGCTTCGCTTGCGTAATAACATATTAACTGCAACATCTGTCTTCGGCGCCAATTTACTATGTACATTCGATAGATTTATATGCTGTGCTTTGTAATTTAATGTCAATATCGCAATGTTTATATGGAAATAAGCAAACGTCATTTATGGAAGAGGGGAAAGAATAAGAGCCAATTTTCACATGAGTTTTATAAGTAAAAGATATTTGCGATTCAGTATGCCTGATCAATACTAATGACTTATTCATATAAAAAGAATTTACTGTTACAGCAACTAGTTTAAATTTAATGAAGAATAAAGCTTAATTTATATTTATCAAACAAAGATCTTAAAAGCAGGTTATATGCATTTATTTGCATTACAAATCAAAAGAAGAAACATACCACTCTCACCATTGGCCTTTTGGTTCTCAGACTTCTTCTATTGTTTGTAAGGTCAGTAAAGCAATGTTAAATACAGACTATTTGCAAATATATAATAAAGTAAAGTCGTTTAAACGAAAATAAGCGATACGAGGTCGGACTTTCAGATTTCACAATCCATTGTGTCTTCTTTTGAAGAGAGTCAAGTTTTATTTTTTAACTTACACATTAATATATTAACTGTTATTATTTCATAAATAGCTGTTCTTCACTGCAGCGTTGTTCTTCACTGGTGCTTGGTCATATGGGAATCGCTGAAAACTGGAACGCGAGATAGGACACACTTGTCTGGAATACATCGGAACGGGAACGAGTTTGCTCTCCCTTGTCTTCTTTCCCTCTAGCGCTGGATCTCTGGACTTTGCGTGAACTTAACAGGCGATCCTTTTGGACTAGTGCGGAATGCAGCAGATCAGAATCATGGGTGTTTTTACCGTTCACTCCCCAGTAGGCGCGTTTATGAAAATTGTATCGAATGCCAACTTTCTCGATTTTTGAGAGTCTTTTAAATACTTAGGAGTACTTATGTATCACAATAGACCGGCGTTTTCAGCTGTCCAAGTGGGATCCGTTTTTGGATCGAATTTCCTAAGTTATTATCTGTTCTGATTGTTGTAAATCCAGCTTCCCATAATTTTCTCAATTCATAAAATTTTATAGTATAGTTCTATCCTACACCTGGAGGCTATAATTTCTTTTTCTAGCGATCTCAATTAATACATGGTACTTTCTCAAGGATGATATTAGTGTTTGAAAACATGAAAGTTTTACAGAGAATCAAATCTATTGTTTTGGTATAACAAAAGTTACTTTGGAAATAGAAAATTTAAAATAAACTCATTACATATTAGAATTAAAATCGACACTTTGAGCTCAAAAAATGTCAAAGAGTCAACATTTCACTAATCGACACTCTCACTAAAATTATTCTCATGAGATCGAAAAGCGTTTTGCCAACCTCCTAGCACGTTTGCAAATAATCTTTAAATTTTTAATTTCAAATATCGGATAAAAAATGTTAATACCAAATTTCAAATTAAAAAAAAATTACTCTTAAATTTTTATATTTTTTTTTGCTCTTACGTACTTCGTCTTTTAACATTTTGATGTAGAACTAGCACTTCAAACGACTTTGTATGTATTATATCAATTTTTATTTTGATTTTGGACCAAAAATTAACTTTTAATTCCAATTGTGGAATAATTAAGTTTATTTAATTTGAAATTTTTAAACCCGAAACCATATTTTTCATCCAAAATTTCTTAACTAAAAGATTCGCAGCCCTGCCTCCAAGTCGATTTCCATAAGGTGATAAAACTCACAACGCACAAAACATGATCAGATGCATCAGTACAATTAAATAATGAAATTACACCAACAATGCGAGAACCGAAGTGTTTGCGTACAAAAATAACTTTTAATTTTTTTAAATTATTAAGTTTGTTTTTGCTTGCAAAGGCACCCAACAAATTGCGATTCCGCAAACAAGCACGTTTTACCTTCAGACCGCTAAGCTAAAAATGCTGATAAAAGATAACACAGAGGCTTGAGTAAGCAGCTTCAAAAACACAGCCACACACACACACACACATACACCTAAGAGCTCGTTGAAAGCTTGAAGCTTGAATGGCTTGCTTTGTTTGGCACGTGCGACGTATTCACAATAGATGACAAGTTCTCATGCACGTTGTTTTTGCATTGTATCTGTGAGCGCAGCCACCCAGTAAAAGTGCCGCTGTCGCTAGCATTCTATCTCTTAGGTGAGTAGGTGACATGTACATGTAAACACACACCATGTAGTAGGCGTAAAGTAAAGACTTACTAGCAGTATTCTCCCTGTGTGTGTGTTGGTGGTGATAGCAAAGCAAGAAAGGAAGCAACAGCATCAGCACCAATACAACCGCTTGTGAAGATCATAACGCTGCGTCTGCGGCTGCGCATTAATTCGTGCTGTTCTAATGTTTTATAATATTTACTTAATATTATTAACTTTGTCAATTTCGCTCAGAACACAACGAGGTGTGTTTCAAAACGGTGGCCAAACACGTTGCTCTAAGTAAGCATACGGACAACCAGGTACGCAGGTATTGCTAAGCTCGTTAAAACTTCTCCACATACAATATTCAAACGACCGAGCACCCAATTGAACGCGCCAATAGTTACGATCGCGCAGGCGTAGAGCGAAGTGCAGCAAAGTGCTATTGTCGGCTAAGTGCAGTGCAGTGCGTGTCCTCAAATAAATAAAAAAATAATAATAATTACATTTTTAAATTCATAATAATTAAACAAGTGAACCAAACCTTAAAGTGTGCCAAAATTTAATTAAATAATTTGAACTTATGTGCAAAAAATAAATAGTATTCACTGAGTAAAGCAAAATTCTTGTTTTCAATACGCAAGTAAGAGAAATAAATTAACTTACGCGTACATAATTTCCGTTACGCAATAGTTCATTTGTCTGCTCATCAATATTGACGAGCCGAAAAAATGCAGTCGCAGTTAGTGTCAACATTGCTTGGCTTGCTAGTAGTCGTAAGTTGTTGCTTCGACCATTGAATTTTGGCGCTTTTTCGCATTCAACATTTTTATTTTTATTTTGTTTAAAGATAACGTTAGTGCTTGGCTATTTATCCAGCACAGAGGCTGCCACAACTCAACGACCTTACGAATTCGGTTTCACAATCGAGAAGCAGCAACATCGTCAAGAGAAAAAAGGTGCGTATTACAATGGTGGCATGCTAAAGATGTGGCGCCGCTATTGTTTTGCTGTTGTAATGTGCTGTCTGCACACACAGCTGTCTTCTAATTCGTTTACCACTTTTTGGCGGTTGTTTAAGTAGGTAATAGGAAGTTCAGTAGTCACTGCAAAACTAACGAATTTTGTTTGTGGATTTTCTGTTTTTATGTAGATAATTAGATTGGCTATATGCAATAAGTATCATTTATAAGAATATTCCAAAGTTTAAATGTATTGAAGCAATCGTTCCTTCGTCATATTAAGTTTGCCACGGAGTTTGTAATAACGAGTAGGAAACGGTGGATAACCTAGAAAGTATATTTATAAATGATCAGCGTGACCAACGAACTCGATTTAGCCATCTCCGTTTATGTGTCTATATACACGAAAACCAGTCCTTCAGTTTTTGAGATATCGATCTCAAATTTTGTACTTTTCTGTTTTGAAGCTACTCTTTTGTCAGAACCGCCGATATCGGACACTCTAGCGTATAGCTGCTTTGCGTACTGACCGATCAAAATCAAGTCCTTGTATAGAAAACTTTTGACAAAATATCTTTTCAAAATATCTTAATTTGGCATAAATTGTTTGAAATGGTGCACAAATCATATAGATCGAACTACTATTGCTTATAGCTGCCATACAACTGATCTGACCGATCAAAATCAAGACAAAATTATTTTTCTACCCTTTTATGACATAAGAAATGCACCTGTGAAGAGTATTAAAGCTTCGGTTAAAGTTTTCTCTTATTTTGAGTATTTTCAGTTTATCGAAATAACATAATTCGTATACAGTATTAATTTTTGGTTTTCTCACCAAAGTAATATCATGAACTTTTGCATCAACAGTAGTTGAATACTAATACGAATAAATGAAAGATGTAGATGTTTCATATATCGAATATTCTCATTTCTCATCAAAACAACCACGAACATGTCAAATAATTCATAATATTCGAACGGTCAATAATTATACCAGCTGTTGAAAGGTAGCGAGTTCGTGGCTTAAATCTATTGTAAATATTATTAAAAATCGATTAAATTCATAAAAAATAAAGAGTGAAATTGAAATATATCGGTAGACACACCTGAAGGGACATGGATTGATATTCACCGTCTTAATATATTTGTGATGAACGCAAAACGTTTCGTAAATCTATCAGAGGATGCGCTTGAAGAAGTTTTTGGGTAACACAAAAGACAAATATCTGTTCAAGTGAGATCCAACGATTTTGGGATCAAACATAAGACCTAACCTAACCTAACCCTATCATAAATAAACCAATCTTACCGGTTGCCAGTGGTAAGAGTTCGTTAGGGAAAGCGAAGTAGAATTATAACAACATTCCATCTCGATTGTATTTCAAAATTTCCGATTTTAAGTCTAAAACCCTTAAAACCCATACACCTTCAGTCAGCTAGGGGAACTCGCGGCTTTAAAAAAAAACGCCTGAGCAGATTTATTTTTTAAGTTAACTCGTGTTGCGTTTTCAACCTACGAGTTTTTCACTTTTCGCTGAGTAAACTCACATCGATATACTTTTGAGCTAATTATTTTAAGTGTGTGCAAAATATTTTCTGCCGAAGCACCAGTATTATATTTTTTTATTACAATAAGAATTACTCATGTACAATGTAGTACGAACTTAGTAAATAAGAGCAACTAGTCACAGTAGTTGGGTAGACACTACTAATTTTAATATTTCTCCCCACCTTTCGTCAATAATTTTGCTACTAAATGTTACAAAGAATACTAAGCATTATAAATAAATACAAAGTCATATTGAAATGCTGCCTTAAATCATTTCTAGATGCTAAAGTTAGCTCTCATGACTACATACAGGCATATATATGCACGCCCGTGACTACGAATTGCTAGCCAAATGCCATTAACAAAAGTGCTGATTGTGTAAAACTTTATGATTTTGGCATACTACATAGTCTCACAGCGCTTATATTATATTTATGTCACTCTTAAAAACATGCATTTACATATATATGAAAATAGATAGCAGCAGATATAATATAACAATATTTACAAGTATGTATATGCATTTGTGCACTTGCACTTTTGCAGTTGTATAACCTTTCGATACCAAAGCGGTCGGTTATTTAACAACTCATTATTGTGTCTGTCGTTGCAGCAAACAACAATTGTTGCAACAGTAAACTAACAAACAACAAAATACATACGTACGTAGGTATGAGTGCATTTGAAAAGCATCAATCTTCTTCTGGCTAAATATAGTCGACACCGCTAAGCTTAAACGACAAACAATAATTCACAGAGATGTCAGCTTGAAAACATTATAAAGACAACAGTTAGTCAATCTCGTTGGTTGCTTAAGATTGTGTGTGGGTGTCAAAAACGTGTCTATGCGTGTATGAACGTAAAACAAAAAGAACGCATGCGCACATCGCCTCTTATGCTCAGAATAATGCTGAAAGGTCGGTAAAATGTGTATGGTATTTAGAAATGGTATTATGTAGCATGGAGGTTGTTGTAATTTATGGCATGAAATTTTATAGCTTTACAAAAGCCTTATACAACATGTTGAACTACAAAGAACAAACAAACAAACCATAAAAATAATGCCATAAGAAAACTGGTATGATAAAAAACTAAATGCAAATTTCTCAATGATTACCGGTTACTTATAAGGCGTAAAGGTGACACTATCTTACTGATTTCGAGCATGATTATCTTGTTGAGAAGGACTCAGAAGTTTTGTGTGTTTAAGCATATTAATTTTTTTTTTTTTGTTTTTTTTTTTGTAAAACATGTTTTTAGCTACACAAAGTAGTGTTTATGACAACTGGCAATATTCGTGTTTCAAATTTTAGTTTCAAAGTACTCGTAAGAACTCTTACCACTGAAGGTTTATTTGGCTTCTTAAAAAATTAGTTGAAAATAATAATTTTCTGAACATAACTTCCAAATATTGGTTTTATTAAGAAATTATTGAAAAGTTTAAAATCCAGAAAGGTTTTTTATTTAATTGTTTTTAATATCATAAATTTTTGAAATTAACTAGTAAGGATAAATAAAAATATTTATTTCCTCAAAAAAATAATGTATATAAGATTTGGATAACATTTTTTTTGACTAAGAAAATTTTTTTGATTGAAAAAAATGTATTTAAAACCCTCTGCTATATTTTTAAACTCGTTTATTGGAATTCCCAATTTATTCTCCTTACAATTCATGGTATATGTTAATATCACTTAGTTTTACAATTGGAAATATTTGGATATGAAACTTTTTTTTTCGTCTAGAGGCTTTTCGTGAATTAAATTGTTGAATCGTTTTGTTCTAGACAAACCAAATACACATGAAGAGAAAATCGTTTGAATAAAAGCTTACGTTGTTCTTAAACTCCTAAAATATCCTGTTTTTGTGAAAATTTTTTAGAAAATTCCTAAATAAGGTAGTTCATGGTAATTTTTACCTTAGGAGTAGAGTTCAAACTTCATTCGTCTGCCTATTTAAAATTTCTATTAGAAATGCGCCTTAAACGTTCAGAAAAAATGTGTGTTTGAGTAATACAATTAGACCATAAATAAGCTGATATATATATATATATATATAAGGTGTTTTTTTAAATTTTTCGCAAAATGGCGATTTTGTTGAAAAGGTTCAAGTTAGTAGCTTGAGCCACATGCTTCGCTCCTACAGTGGATAGAACAAATAAACAAATATTTTTCAGTATTCTACCAATTTAATAATGTTTTGAGGACCTTAAAGTGTACCAATAAAAAAAAAGTTTATATTTTTTAAAAGAAACTAACTAGAATGGCCTATTTCCTTAACATAATTCTAGCAGTTGTAGAAGTATCGATTAAAGTATAAATTTAAAACTTTCACAGTTGACAACCATTTGATAGAGCTAAGCGCTTTGAGCTCGACGATTACGACTCATTATATTCACCAAAATAGAAAAATTGCTATTTGGTAATAGGAACATCCCATAAAAAGAATTAAAAAATGTTATAATCTTTGTGCTAAATTGTATCTTAGTGATAATTTTCTCTAAAAATACCAAATTTTTAAATAATTTTTTATGGCCACGCGTCCATAAAATAAAACTGCTGACATGTTTTGTTGTTTTTGTTTTTATTTGTGTGCAGATGTTTTCTATTTAAGAATGAAATTTACAACTCGTATAGTATCACTTTTTTTCCAAAATTCGTCAATAAACAGATTGAATGACATGCAATACAAGAACATGAACAAAATGCGTACTTATTTGGCTATTCGAATAATTCATACCCACATTAGAATTGAAATTTACATAAAACCATTTCGTTCCATACAGAAATCAGCAAAAACCAGTAAGTATTCCAACACTTGGCGCCCATAGCCAAATTTGACGGTACTGAAACTGACTTTGCTAATTTGAGAGTTTCAATAATTCATCTATTAATTGTCGACTGATTGATAAACTTAATTGTTTTCGGTGCTTGAAAAATGTTCACTATGCTAAAGAGCTGTCAATTGTCCTCAGTAGCTGATTTGTGAACAATTAAATTCTTTACAAAATTTACTAATTAGTGTCAAATATTTGAGTACAAACAAGGTTAATATTCTTTTATTTTAATCCTTTTGTTGAAAGAAATTGTGTATGCCTGCACTGAATTTAATTTTACTTTCATACAATTCTTTAAGATATAAGAAATATATGCTCACTGATTGAAAATTATTTTCGACTATTAGAATTTTCAATTATTGACTTAAGTTATTATGGCATATTAGAATATTTATAAAACAAAGTATTACTATCACTCATTTAACTCAGGCACAACTTATTTAGCTTTTTTTTAATTAGGGCAATATTACCCAGACTTACATGGCGTATGAGTGAAGTAAATATGAATTTGCGCTTGCGCCGTACATAATTGAAATTATATTTCAATAAAGTGGCGACTGTATTCTTACCGAAACCAGTTGATGTTGTAGATACATTAGGCATACGCCGCAATTATTTTGAATTCAATTAGCAAGACGCAGAATGCTAGATAACATGCCATAATTTTGAGGTGTTGACATTTTGGCTGGTGAAATTTGTGAATATTAAGTAGAAAATAATCTAAAAGCTAGGCATACGACCAGAATCGCAACTGCATTATATCCAAACAGGTGTTTGCGGTGTTTTTAAACAAAGGCATTAACATCTAAAATTAGCACATGACAAAACCGCTACAATTTGATTATCTACGCTACAAAAACATCTTAAAATTTTTATTTTTATTTAATCGAATTGAACTTTTTATTGTTCAACAAAAAAGTAAATTTTTGTCATCACCTTTTAAGTATTGTAATTGATATATCATAAAGAGAATGATTGCTCAATTTATATTGTCGATCTAAGTTTACAATTTACAAATCAGTTTACAATTGACATTTGAAACAGCTGTTGCAATTGAGATTAATAACTTTCTAAACAATAGCCAATTCAAACATTTACAAGGCGGAGTTTGTAATAAATATTCTAATGTCTTTTACCCCTAATTTTCGATGAGAAATGTTCAAAAAGAAATATGACATTCTTTATCACTTTTTATCGAACCCGTTTTTTACGTCTTCCACAATATTAATAATTCATGTTTGATACAACGCACTTGTGTTCATCCAAATCTCATAGCACCTTTAGCAATCATTTTCGGTTATAGCTTTGAGCTCTTGTCGTTCTTCCTTTCTGGTATATTTTCAGCTTGGAAACAGTAAAAGAGTTAGTGAGCTGTAAATGTGGATCTACCACATAATATTAGTTACTTCTTGTTTAAATAGGTTAGGTGTATGCATCACGCCTCATTAATCAAAAACAAAAAAAAACCTGCGTAAAATTTTTCCATTTTATCAAATCTTTCGCATTTTTTCATCAGCGGCTTTTCCATTACAAATATTGAATTTGGCGCCTTAACCGTGAATACATGATTAGTCACCTGCTAAATGTGCAAAGAGCCTATTTAGCGCTGCTCATACAACAGTTCTTCTAATTGAAAGTAAGCACTTTAGCATCGCAACATCTCAAGCCCTGAATATCTGGAAAAAATATATACCAAATATCAACTGATATACCGATATTATCAACGATTTCTCCAGTTTAAGATTAGATTATTTTCCAACAACATTATTCAACATTTTCTCTAAGTGTTGGAATGCCTGGGAGCCACAAAATAAGTCCTTCGTTGAAGTTTTCTTGACTATCATCCATTTTCAAGCTTTCAAAATAACTTGTAAGATTCCGAAAATTTTCTCATTTCAATAATTGTTAACAACGTGTGGGAAAAAATGCGCTCGTTAAAATAATACATTAAACACAGCAAAAAATGTTTACTTAATATTAAACAATTCTTTCTCTAAATTGAAAAAAAGGTACTAGACAATGAATATAAGAGCAAAAACTAAATTTAAGAATTCCATAAGCAAATAGTTCAACATAACAATACAAACTTGGAATAGAGCAGTATAATCCAGATACACAAATTCTCTAGTGAATAAAAGCACAAATTTGGCAGCGAAAGTGCTTCCTAACTCAATCGTTACTAAGTCTCTTATTATGTAATAAGTATCTTTCTTTCTCTAAAATTTACGATTTTCAATCTGCGCATGTTTGACAATTAAATTGAACAAAGAAGAGACTGACAAGACTTAACTGCTTTTGGGTGCTTAACTTAAGTGAATAGCCGACTATTGCTAATTAAGCAAAACATCGAAACTTAGTTGAGCTGAAATACTAATGATACGAAACAAAAGCAAATAATATCAAAATAATATGCAGATAAAATTATGACAAAATCCAGCAGTTGAACAAGTTCCATTCCAGTATTTAGATATTGGGCACAATAAACATACTTCTAAATTGCAAAAGGAAGTGGTGCAAAAGTTTTATATGAAAAAAAAACAATACCTTTTGCTTTGTACCTTTAGACCACCCTAGCGGGTATTTTTTGTGTTTTTTTTTTTTTTTTTGTAAAAACAATACCTTTTGCTGCAGTAAGTTGCTATAAGTTATGAAGATCTGACAAAGATTATTAAGAAGATCTGATAAGCTTATTTATTACTTCTTTTTTAACTTTAAAATAAAAAGCAATTTCTTTGATTTTAATTTTTAGCTTTATGTTATTAACGACTTTTGTTTGAAATAAATCAAACACACCTTTTCTTAAACATAACTCAAAATGAAATAAGAAAAAACGTTAACTTCGGTTGCACCAAAGCTATCATACCATTTACAAATAAAGAAGTATTTATACAAGAACTAGAATTGGTCTTTCAGTTTGTATCGCAGTTATATGCTATAGTGTTTCGATCTGGAAAATTTCGTAAAATATTATAGCGTAGTTCAGGGTATAGTAATGAATAGAAAGGTAAAGAATAATAGGGTATATGTAGATGAATAGACTTTGTTCTTGTATCTCATATATCATGGAAGTGAGGTCATATGTATATGTATATAAGTGATTGTAACCCATATAACCTCTTTTTGTTTGACTTAAGTAGTTAGTCAGTGTAATATTTCAAAGAGAAAATCACACAAATAATTATATCTAAGCTACTATCTGTACTAGTTTCTCTTAAGCCCTCAATTTCTACCTAATATCCTTCAAGCGCGATTCGCGTTATGTTTGAACCTATTTAAATCCACTACAAACATCCTAAACAAACCCGAAATCATAAAAAAAATTTAAGTATTTCACTTTCTTAAATCAACAAGCATTTACCATGAGTAGTTTTAAGTTTAGTACTCTACTTTTTTCAAACATATTTGTTTTCCAAACGAGTTTAAGAACCTAAAAATGCTGGCATTTTAAAGTGCAACTTGTAATGTTAGACTTTAGTCTAATAGTCGTTCAACCCCACACATTTTCTCATATATTTTTTTTAATATTTTACCAACGTCAACAATACAAGTATGAAATTGTTCATCTAGATGAGCGCGGCATCGTTATGGGCGAATTCGGTTTCATAACCGCTGACGGCATTTATCACGTGACAGTCTATGCAACCGATGAGGAGGGCAAATTCCGGATATTAGCTATGCGCAGTTATCCCTACGAAGAGCATCCAAGTGAGTATGCAAAACGAATGAGCACATAAAATATTTAGAAATACATCTTGTTTGATATTTTCACAGAAACAATCGAAATGGTTGTGCGGCCAAAGGCTAAGGCAACTATCGCACCGCCAACACCCAGCACCACTACGACAACGGAGCGCGCCAAACCAAAACCTTTTGAAAAACACAATTTCAGTGTGCAAGGTTGTTCTGGCTGTTTTATTAAAAATAACGTACCAACAACAACACAAAAGCCTGACGCTAAAAAATACGATATTAGTCTCTTATCAAAGCCCCTCGCACCAGAAGCGACACCGGTTATTGGTAAGCAAATTATTTCGCAAGTTTTACCAAAAGTTTTGCCACAAGTGATACAAGAGGTACAACTAGTCGAAACAAGATTGAAAGAAGCCGCAACAAATGTACCACACAGAGTAACTGCAGCTATAGGCACAGATATTAATTTGGCATTATCAGAGAAGAATACACAACAACAAAACGCACACACTGCATTCAAGGAACCTCAGCTCACAATACTCAAAGCACAGACAACACAAAATTCACAACACACCGCACCACTTGCAGTACAAACAAATCAAATAAATGACGGAAAGCCAGCTGTAGGACTTAGCACAAACATAAACCGTCTGACTCCTTTGGGCAATGCACACACAAACACACTAAAGTCTCAACTATTACCACAAAAAGCACAGGAATCAAAAACTACACAACACACTTTACCACTCGCGATACAAACACAAATAAAACCGTTTGAAACACTAAACACCAACGGCAATCGTTTAAGCCCCACGGTTGTGCAGAACAAAGCGCCCGAAACGCCTTCCGTAATCACTATTCCACACAACCCTGAACCACTCGCGGCACAAACCCAAATAAAAGCACCAAAACCATTTATAACACTTAGCACAAACACCAACCATTTAAATCCTGTTGCACCGAACGTAGCAAGTGAGTACACAAGCCCTGGCGTTTTATACAGAGTTGCATTTTCGTAAGATTCGCTACAAAAATATTTTTAGACACATTGTTGTTGCTATAATATTGCTACTTTTATAGGTTCTGCGCCACCTGGCAGCACTTTAAATGCCGGCAAAGCTGAGACATCAACCACTGGCGCATTCGGCAACGCAAATGCAAACGGTAATTATAGTAAAGAGCATCACCCAAGTATTCTCAGTTTGCTATTAATTCTATGTTTTTTTCTGTTTCCGCAACTTCAGCATTTCCCAAAGTACTCAGCAGTCAGCCCTCTGGCGGCGCTAAAGGTTCAACCAGTAGCATTCCAACCCCTAGCACGCAAATTACGGCACCAGCGATTAATGCTGGCAGCACTGGCGGTGGAAAAGGCATCGCAGCGGGCGCCGCAAGCGGACCGAGCACAAATACTGGTTTCAGCGGTGCTAGTGGTGGGAATAATAACTTTGGCGGAAATAGTGGCAGCAGTGGCGCTTCTCCTGGCAGTAAAGCTGGTAGTGCTACAGGCTTTGGTGGCGGTTCTCCTGGCGATAAAGCTGGTGGCGCTGCAGGCTTTGGTGGCGGTTCTCCCGGCAGTAAAGTTGGCAGTGCTGCAGGTTTGGGTGGCGGATCGGCCGGCAGCGCTGCAGGTTTTGGTGGCGGTTCTCCTGGCAATAAAGCTGGCGGCTCTGCAGGTTTTGGTGGCAGTTCAGCTGGTAGTAAAGCTAGTAGCGCTGCAGGTTTCGGTAGCGGATCGCCAGGCAGCAAAGCTAGCGGCGCTGCAGGTGAAGCGGGTGATTTGTACCGGTTCAAATATCTGCTTGACTACAATGGCCATCGAGAAACAGGCTCACATAATGGCAATAAGGAAGGTAGCTTTTACGCCATTGGCGATGACAATGTGGAACGCACTATTGAGTATATAGCGAATGAATTTGGCTATCAGCCGCGTGTACGTTTCCGTAAATTGGACGCGCCTGTGCAAGCGAAAGAGAATACGTTGAAAGATTACGAATTTGTGTGGTTCAAAAAATGATAAGTGCCTGAGCAGAGATTTCGCTAAGTAATTTTTTTTAATTAATAAATTATAAAATTTTTGTTTTTGTTTAATTTATTTATGCTGAAGTTGCTGTTGCAGCATCGAATGTATGAGCGGAGAGACAGCAGAAAGAGAATACTCAATAAATTGAATGAAAAAGAGAGCGTATTTCGAATTTCGAAATCGTTTTATTTGCATTCTGATTTTATATATATATTTTTTTTGTTTTAATTATTATTTTTGTAATTTCATTTATTTTATAATTTATTTTGCTTTCTTAATCACACTAAAACTTAATTTTCCAAATACACTGCAATCAATAAGATTTTACACATTTATATTGATTAATTTTTTAAATCTTACGTTTGCATAATGTGAGGAGTTCCGTTAATTTATTTATACACATCGAGATGAATTTAAAATTACATTTTTTATAATAATGAATATTATTAATTTGTAAATACATACAACTAGAGAAGTGTTACTTCAAATTGGTACTAATCTTTATTTCATTTCTACATTTGTAGTACTGACATTTTTACTTTGTTTTCATTATTTTATACATTTATATTGTTTTTGTATATGCAGCTGTCATATTCGTTTCGATTTCTTAATTGCAACATTGACAAATACACAGTAATCAATTAGAATGCAAGTGCCTTCTTAATTAAATTTTTTCAATTGTAAATACACATACACCCACACATACGTAGATATACGTATTTTTACTGTTATCGTATATAATATTTATGAAATTATCATACACCAAGATATGAACAGACATTTAATACACACAGAAATCTTAATGTTCTTTCTTTTTTTATCTTCTTTACGACTTATGAGTACCGTTAAACATTAATTTTTAAATATACATATACATATATAATAATTTTCGTGTTTTTATTTATTAATATTTTTTTTTTTGGTATTTGGTTTCACTTATTTGCTCATTTTCGTTTGTTAAAATCAATAAAATATCTTTTGTTTTAACTTATTTATATTTAAACTGTACATATTCATCTATCACAGTCCACCATTTTAAGACAAACATGAAATACTGTATACACACATATTTTTATTTAATATCTATACACAAGCACACATTTGTAATAAGATACATAATAATAAGATTTTTGAAAAAGAAGTCGTTAAAATTTGTTAAATGAAAATAATCGCTTTGGTTTGAGAAAGGTTATTTTTAAAATTTATAAAATCACAAATTTTTACAATCTGAATAATCTGAAATTATATATAATCGTGGTGATAATCGAACCCAGACTCTTTCTTCTTCAAAATTGTATGAGAAACCTCAAATATTGTTGATGACAATAAAATCTCAAACTCTTTTGTGTTATGAAAATTAACGAATCGTTAACTCTTCAATAATTTTATCATAACATAACTTTACCTTCAACATTTGTGGTTATTATTCAACTCATCGGAATTAAATTGGTTCCATCACTACCACAAAAATTTCGTGCACTTCAGTTGGGTATAATGAAATGTAATTCTAGTTTTCATATTTTCATTCGAACCTTCAGCTTTTCATATATCAGGGAGTTTTGAAATAAATGGCTTGGTTAACATTGGTTTAGTTTAAGCTGTCTGTAATCTGACCAGTTTCGAGCTGAAAAGTAGCATATTTAAAACTACATATTTTGTCTTGCCATAACTTCTGTTACTAAGTTTACAATGTATGCATGCGAGGTCAAGTCCCCAGAAAAAAGTGCCGTTATCTTTTTTGTAATTTCTATGCAATGTCTACTCATATATAATAATCAGTTCAATGTTTGCTTTCGCTTATTAACAACGATGTGAGGAGCTAACGAAAATCGTATTGCAGTGATTGTTTCACAATACGTGTGGAAAAAGTGCAAGTGATATTTATGAGCTTCTCAAAAAACGTAATATCTCGAGAAGTTTTGTTTTCCGATTTATTTGAGATGATCTCCACTTGAAAGCCTGCCGTTATAAAAGCCTTTCGTCAGTCAACTGGCCACCTTCTGAAAACGCGCTTGAAACAAATTTGACTCAACAGATGTAAGAAGCTTCTCCAATCGCACATGGTCAAATATCTTCTGTACAGTTCAAAATATGTTCACGGTTGAAGTAGTTTTTAATAAAGAAATCCAAAAAATCTACGAAAATTGTTACTCCAACGGTTCAGCGTGGTCACCATCCAGCTACAGTAATGGTTGGGTAGGGAGTCTACTATAAAGGCGTTACACTTCTTCACTTCTGTAAAAAGGGATTTTAATTGGGGCAAAGTGAACTAGCAGGATGTTTTAGAAGGCGCGGTAAGGCAGTTAAGCAATACTCTCTCCCATAGATAACATTAGATCCTCCAGCAACATTTGGTTCCAGCACACAGGGTAAGAACCACCCATCAGTGACTTAAAAGCAATATTTATTCTTGGTTTCATAGCTGCAAATGAATGGCCGTCTGGATGTTCAGATATGAATTCAAAGGACTATAGTTTGTAGAAAAACCCCACAGAGTCTCAAAAATATTTTGTTCGAGTAGCGTCGTCAACAGAAACTGTGTATACTGCCATTATCAATGGCCGAATCGTTTGAGGGCTTATATGAAAGCAAGAGGTGACCATTTCGAATATAATTTTAAACATCGCTAATTTAAGTTTTATTTTTATAACGGCCCGAACTTGTAACAGAACTTTTGGCAAAACTTAGTTTTTATTTAATTGACTTTTAACCATTAAATGCAGCTACGAGAGAGCTCACAACAAAAAATGCTTTTCCAATATGTCGAGATGATCTCCATGACGATTATTATCAAACCTAGAGAAACTAGTAATAGAAATTAGTGATGGCACATATAATTTGAGCAAGGGACTTGCGAAAGTGAAATTTACTTTCATAACTTTGCACAGCTTTAGTAAATGACGAATAGAACAAACAACTAGTATAATATCGAATAGCATGAAAAAATAATAGAGAAAGTAAGAAAGAGTTTATAACTAACTATGTTTAATTAAGTTTAACTAGTTGTCTTTGTTTTTGATTTTGTTGGCAAACGAACAGAGGTCGAACATAGAGGTCTTAATGCAATGTCAAGTGTTTTGCAGACATTTTGCTATCGAGTAGAAAATTTTAAAATTAAAGGCCTTGTTTTGAAAGAGGTCGCTATACTCAAACACAAGTATATACATATATGACGAGTTCTCATTTTGGTTATTTTTGAAACATTTTTTCTCAAACATTAAAACGAAAAAGTCGAAAAAAAATTTTTTTAATTGAAACAACATAATGAAATCACAAAAATAACAAATAAAAACTAACTTCAACTTAACGTAAATATTTTTCTCGTTACATACATATATACACTTTGTAATTATTATTAATTTTTCCGTTAATTTTAAACTTAAAATTAGCTATGGGCAAGAGAGTTTATCTTTAAAAAGCGTCTTTTGCGCTAAAATCTTCTTAAAGCTATTTTTTAACTATTCTTCATTAATAAAATAGCACACGAGAAATTGTGCTGATAAATTTCGTTTAATGAATTTAATATTGCTGAAAATACACGAAGCATACATACATATATTTATTGAAAATATATGTCAAATTTACAATTTCAATGAATTAACATTCTCTAGAGTAACTTTCATAGAAAACAATTTACAAATTGCTGTGATTGATGCTAAGCGTTTTTGAAAATATGTATATGCACCAAAGCTAAAGATTGCCGAAAATATTAATAACCTCTTGCTTTTAAATTGTTAAGCATTTCAATGAGAGGCACGCTAGAGGAGCATAACATAGCGAGAAAAGAGTGAAGTTTAAAAAACAAAGTTTTTTGCAACAAAATTAATTTGATTACATATTTTTGCTCGCATGTGTGGCAACATTTATACATCAAAGACTATTAACGACTGTTGCTTCTTCTTTTTACCTTATTCTTCTTCTTCTTATTCTTAACGATAATACTTTCAATGCTCGTATTTTACATATTTCCTTATCCGCTAATCTAAGCATGAACGATTTTTGTTTTGTACTCAAAATGAATGTAAAATGGTGTAAGGGTATTGGGTCTCAGTTTGTGATTTATAAATATTAAATATAGTTATACCCACATACATATGTACTATAAACTTAAGCATGTACATAGAGTAAGTGAATTGGGGTTGCTGGTCGGTTAGCAGTGGCTTACTTGCCATTGTTTCTTCCAATTCCTACTGGTCGGTATAAGAGCATATGCATTGTTGTTGCGCACATTCGTAGGTACGACTCCAGGCAGGTTGTGCGCGCTGCTCGCCGCATCGTTATGCAAAACTTTCCGCATTGAAATGGCATCATTTCAATATCGTTGGTAAGCCTGTGTTCATTAATCGATTACCAACAACAAGCGAGTTGAGGTTGCCACCGCCCATACCCATTCCCATACCGACACCAACACCCACACTGAGGCCGCCCAAACTGCCGAAGCCACTGCTCGCGCCGACGCTATGCGTTGGAGCAGCCGTTAGGGTTGCAGTTGCTATATTCAAATTATTACCGCCGCCACCAACCACACCATTGTGATGATGATGATGATGATTTGCGCCACTACCACTGGAACTGCTGCTACTGCCGCCACCGCCACTGAACGCCGCTAAACTGCCAGCACCACTACCGAATGCACTCAATCCACCGCCACCGCCGCCGCAGCCCGCTGCCATACCCATCGCCGTGAGTCCTAAACTTGCATGTACGCCACCGCCACCACCCAGACTACTGCCACCACCGCTGCTGCCAATGCCAACGCCACCGGCACCACCACCACCACTGCCATTAATGCTACCGCTGCCGCCACTGCTATGACTGCTGCCCACCGAGGTGAGACAATGCAATGTGGCAGCGGCATTGATGGCAGCCGCGCTGCTACTACTGCTGCCGCTACCACTGCCGCTGCTAATGCCGACGCTAACGCCTCCACCACCTCCACCACTCATTGACCCAACACTGCTGGCTGCGGCAGCTGCATGCGCGGCATGGGCAGCATGGGCGCTGCTGCCGCTGACGATGGCGTTGCTCTCATATTAGAAGCCACCGCCGGACGATGATGGTCATGCATAATGCGGATAGGAGCTGAGATGAGGCGCAACATGCGACGGCGTCACATGGCCCATCGAGTGTGGCTGATAGAGATTTGTGGCCGGGTTGCCCCAATTGCCCCACGAAGCGGCCGATGGAAATATCGATGCTGCAATAGAGAAAAAGAAAAGAGGTGTGTTATTAGAAATGCATATCTCTGAGGTTATAAAAAACTTCTGTTAACAGTATAGAGTAATAAAAAGTTTACGATTTCAAAGGCAATAAAAATAAGACGTAAACAATAATAGGTGCTGATAAAATGAGAAGGAAAGTAAAGCGTGTAAAATACCTGATGACGATGTCATACCATGATGCGGACTCATAAATGAGCTCAGTTTAGCGCTATGATGATATGGTGTCATAAACAAGTCGCTCTGGTACTTGTAGGTGGGATCGCTAGCGGCGGGTTGTGTGGCGGCGGCCAAACCTTGAAAGTCAAACTTGTACGCATAACGTTTGCCATGCACTTTGGTCATAATGTTCTTGTCGTAGTAATATCTGTGGATGAGATGGAATGTTAGTATATTTAATAATGTGTTAGAAAAGCATATCATCAAGACTACAATAATAATAATAAAAAAACTATAAACAAACAGCTTAACAAGCAATACTAATTGCCGTATTTAATATTAATTTAATCAATTCATAAACGTTTAGCCAATTAAGACGGGAGCCACTGTTAAAAATCTTATCTGCGCAAAGTAAAGTGCTAAAACTAAACTGGTTCACTCACTAACGATAGAATATTAATTTTTCAATCATTCACGTAAAATCGAATTTGTTTCTACAGGAAATATTTCGCCATTGGATAGATATGGCAGCTCTAGTTATGATCTAGTTATAATATTTCGAATGTGATACCGACCAGTATTTAATACGGAGAGAAAGTACGTTTTGTTGATCTAATTTCAAAATGATGAGCTTCAAAACTTTCAATACTTAGAATTGTCATTGAATTTACATATATTGAACTTATGGGATATCTATATATACGTTAAGACTGTACAATATTTTAAGTATGGTCGCGGTAGTATAGCCTAGTACGACCACGTTTAAATTCACCAGCCCAAAATTCAACGGTGCACAGATCGATATCTCAAAAACTGAGGGACTAGTTCGCATATATACAGATGGACGGAGGGACGGACAGACAGACGGACATTTAACCTACTTAACTCGTCACACTGATCATTTATACATACTCGTATACTTTATGGATACTCTAACGTTTGCTTTTAGGTGTTACAAATTTCGTGGCAAACGTAATACAAAACAAGTAAGAAAGGGCTAAGTTCGGGTGTAACCGAACATTTCATACTCTCGGAGCTTGCAAAAATCGAATCCGGGGAAATTCCTTCAATTAATCAATTTTATAAATATATAACTCATACACTGATCGACATATTGAGCATTGGGTTTGTTAGAATAACGAAAATCATTATGTGTGGGATATGAGGGTTTGGGTAATTCGTAGACAAATATGACATATTTTTGGCATTAAACAATAGTATGCTCAATATAATCCGTTCAGTTAATTTTGTTAAGTTATCTTACATATTGACCGATATATACGGTATAAAGTCAATCAGTAGTGTGCAAATATTATATTTGGTAAATGAGAGACAGGGATAGTATTAAACCGCTTTTATCCATTTTAACCATTACCACAGACAAAGATGATCTCTGAGTTTCATTAAGGTACTTCACATACCATCACAAATATATGGGGGATAAAGTCATATATTATAACATGTTATAAGATATTGATATCAGATAAAGATTCTCTCCGAGTTTCTATAATACATATATCTCACAAATTGACAGATATTTTCGATAAAAAAGTGCGCAATAGGAGTCGGGGTCCATATATTCGGTACCTGGGGGCTTAAACAGTTTTGTTTCGATTTAGACAAGTTTTGGTCATAAGCTGTCACACTTCAAAGTCAGTATTGGTGTAAAGTTTTATGCCGATACATTCATTGGTGCTTAATTTATATACTGGAAATTGAAAGAATTAGATGGATTTTAAAATTGTGTAATATGGGAAGTAGGCGTGGTTGTTGTTCGATATCGCCCATTTTCACATATTGGCATAAGAATATCAGAATAATGCCACCTACCAAATTTGGTTAATATCAGTCGAGCGGCTCCCAGGATATGGGTTTTCACCTAAATGTAGGCGGTGCCACTCCCATCGTCTAATTTTGACCCTTGCTCCAATTAAGTTTTTTTGTATCACCTCAGATGTAAAATTTAATATCTCTGGCGTATTAATTTATAGATTTATCGCGCTTTTAGTACTTTTTAACAGTACCGTTATATGGAGAGTAGGCGAGGTTATCACCCGATTTCATTCACTTTTACAGTGTCAGTAGTAGTACTTAAGCGATTTATGCTGAGTGAATTTGGTTATTATAGCTATAAAAGTTTAGGACATATGTACATTAAACCTTTTAGAACCACGCCCGTTTCACAAAATGTTTAGCCCACCCTCTCGCTACTCGCGATCCTATGTGTCAAAATAAAGTCTTATATCTTAATTAAGTGCTTAGTTATGGCACTTTATAGGTTTTCGATTAGGGGTGTTTTGTGGGCGTGGCAGTAGTCCCATTACGCCCATCTACAATTTCGTCCTCACTTTTTTGCCAAGAAACACGTCGCATTGCGATATCTCAATTCTTAGTCAAGTTATAGCTTGCACAGACAGACAGATGGAAGGAGGACAGACAGTCGCTCGTAATTCAACTCGTCTTGTCATCCTGATGATTTATATATACATAACCTTATATATATCTCGATTATATTTAGGTGATACTAGCAACAGTTAGGTGAACAAAACCCTGTAACAACATGTTGCAAGAGTATAAAAAGTATTTATTTTCAAAGCAAAATATTAATATTCAGAACTACTTTCAGACGATTTTCCCAGATTCAAAAAGCTGTATTTCTCGATACCATAGTTTGATTGGCGGTATAAAACAGTACAAACTAAACATCAGATAAATAAATTATTTTTACATTAGCTCGTTATTTATGATTTTTTAATCAAAAGAAAATAATAAAATATTATATGTGGAATCTCCTACTGATACTCTCTCCACAATAGCTTTAAACTTTTTTTCAATATTTACGTCTTCTTCAATCATTTCTGACCCAAACAGCTTGGTAATATTCTCACAATTGGAAATTGGCCTTTTTTACAAAATTTTTACCGTCATACCATTAAAAAATATAATGTTTGTGACCCTTAACAATCTGACACGCTTACAAGTTCAGTCTGACCTGCTTACAACCTACAATCCTGCCCAACCATTACATAGCAAACATAAAAAGAGTCGAAAACCTGAAAAAAAAACTTATTAATATTAAGAATTAATTAACAAAAGCTGGAGTGGTAGAATAATTTACTTTTATTTTCAACTTTTTTCTTTTCGAAAACAAGTACTGTAGACCAAACATAACTTGTTGCGAAAATTTACATAAATTTTTATGCAAAAATATGTTGTTTAGCATAAAACTTAACGATGGCATATACCTATTTTGCGTAGCATGTAGACAATGTTAAGTTATTTAATTACATATTCAAATTCGATAAGCCGACGAATATTAAAAGTACAGTGTGTTGAGAAAAATTTCGAAAAAAAATTTGGCATACACACTATCACTGTATCACTATACCAACCTTGTGAGTGGCTTCTAACATTTTAGTTTAAAAATTATAAGCTAATATTTTTAATACCGTTATGAAAACCTTGAATTTTTCAATGAAAAAAATGTTGTGGGAAAATATATATTATTCTTTTTTCAATTCAATTTTATTTGGAATCTAACTTTTTGTAATGACAATAACTAAATTTGTTGAAAAAAACAATAATGTTGAGGTAAAATATCAGTACCTTTACATAAATAAAGGTCTAGAAGAGTAATTTTCAAAGTTTGAGATCAATCGAATCGAAAGACGACCCCTTTCGATCAATTAATAATAGTATTGTAAATAACTTTATTCTGTAATGTATTGCCCATTTTGATCAATGACTTTTTGCTATCTTTCAGCCAGCATCATAATCCCACGTTCATAAAACTTCTGGTTTTTATTAGCAAGAAACTGAATCAGGTACGATTTGACATCATCATCATTATTGAAATGTTTACCATTCAAAGAGTTTTGTAAAGATCGAAACAAAAAGTAATTCGATGATGCAAGGTCAGGACTATATGGTGGATGTGGCAAAACATCCCATTTTTGCCGAGTGACCAAAGATGTTAGTTGTTCAATGTAGACAACAGAATTGATCGTTCGATTGGGTGGTAAGAGTCCAAAGTAGACAATTCCTTTATAATCCCACCAAACTTATAACAAAACCTTCTTTTGATGAATACCAGCTTTTGATGTTGTTTGAGCTGGATCACCTGGCCTGCTCCACGATCTTTTCCGCTCGATATTGTTGTAAACAACCCATTTTTCATCGCCAGTTATCATTCGTTTTAAAAATGGATAATTTTCATTACGTTTCTTTAGCAAATCGCAGCTGTTAATACGTTGCGTTAAATTCGTTTCTTTCAGTTCGTGACGAACCCATGTATCGAGTTTTTGAACATAGCCAAGTTGTTTTAAGTGATTTTCAATGCATGTATGTGATACCTGAAGCTTCTCTGCAATCTCACGTGTTGTACTGTGACGATCCGAATCGATTATTGCTTTAATTAGGTCGTCATTAACTTCAACTGGACGACCAGAGCGTTTTTCATCTTTGAGTGAAAAATCACTAGAACGAAATTTGGCAAACCAATTTTGACACTGCCATTCTTTTATGGCTTCGTCGCCATAAACAGCACATAACTTTTTGAGCTTGCGATGCGTTTTTGCCTTTGCGAAAATAAAAAAGCAAAATATGACGAAAATGTTCTTTTTGATCTTCCATTTTTCAACTAACGCCAAACGAAAACTACGTAACCGATCAAAAACTGATTGACAGCTGAATTGCCAACTATCAAATAACAAAATGTGTTTTACATTTGGACTACGCCAGCAAACCTAAAAATTCAACTGAAGCCATCTATGCGGGATATCCGCAATTACAAAGTTGCCAACCCAATATTTGCGTTACTGCAACATAACCCAATATATGTATGATCTGTCACCTTTCCCTTATTATTTCTTCAATCTTTTGAGTGAAAAAGTAATGTAATGATAAAATAGATTTTATTATAACTGATATCTCATTGTCCATATTCCATTATCTTCTAATTTCATTATCCTCGTATCCCCCTTTGGCGTACAATGAGTAATTGCTCAATATGCGATTTATTAGTTTTATGAACAGGTTTGCGCAATATTATTATTTGAAATTATGAAATACAGTAGTTATAACCTGTCTTAATAGATCTTACCAAATTCCAGAAATATGGTAACCAAAATCATGTGCAATAAACAAACATTCTTCTTCTAAAATATATACTTCTCCTCCGAAAGCCTTTACAATTTTGAATATTATTTA